AAGAGAGATTATTTATCGAGTTTTTCCACTTCTTTGTAAACTTTAGACTGTCCCAGTTATCGAGGCTTCTGTGTAATGCAAACGAGTCATTAGTTATCGAGTTTTTCTAGTTCTTCATGAACTTTAAACTGTTCCAGTACTCAAGAAACTTGCGTATTTTACAAAAGTGATTATTAATCGAGTTTTTTGAGTTCTTTGTAAACTTTAAAGTTTCCCAGTTAACAGAAACCATGTATGATACACAAGAGTAACTTTCTATCGAGTTATTTCAGTTCTTCATAAGTGTTAAACTGTCCCAGCTATCGAGATTTTTAAGTAATGCAAAAGAGTGATTACTTATCGACTTTCTTCTGTTTCTTTATAAACTGCCGACTGTCCCATTTAGCGAGGCTTCTGTGCAATGCAATCGACTGATTATTTGTCGAGTTTTTTGAGGTTCCTTTTAAACTTTGAACTATCTCAGTTATCGAGGTTGTTATAAAATACAAAATAGTAAAGTCTTGTCAAGTTCTTTCAGTTCTTCCGATGGTTTGAACTGTCCCAGTTGTAAAAGATCTTGTCTAATACACGAAAGTGATTATTTATCGAATTTTTTCGATTCTTTGTGGACTTTGAACTGTCCTTGTTATCAAGAATCAAGTATAATTCACAAGAGTAAATTCTTATCGAGTTAATTCAGTTCTTCCTAAATTTAGAACTGTCCCGATTATCAAACATCTTGTGTAATACACAAAATTAATTATTTATCGACTTTTTTCAGTTATTTGTAAACTTCAAAGTGTCCCAGTTATCAAAGTTCTCAGAAGAGTAACTTCTAATCGAAATCTTCCTAATATTCCTAAAGTTCGAGCTGTCCCAGTTATGAAAGACCTTGTATATTACACAAAAATGATTAGTTATCGAGTTTTTTCAGTTCTTCGTGAACTTTGAACTGTCTCTGCGATCAAGGATTATGTATAATTCACAAGAGTATCTGCTTGTCGAGTTTTGTCAGTTCTTTCTAAATACAGATCCTGTCCCAGTTATCAAAAATCTTGTATAATGCACAAAAGTAATTGTTTATCGAGTTTTTTCAGTTCTTTGTAAACTTCGAATTGTCCCAGTTATCGAAGTTCCAAGAAGAGAAACTTCTAATTGAAATCTTCCTAAAATTCCTAACGTTTTATCTGTCCCAGTTATCAAGGATCTTGTATAATGGGCAAAAATGATTACATATCGAGTTTTTTCAGTTCTTTGTAAACTTTAAACTGTCCCAGTTAACAGAAACCTTGTATGGTAGACAAAAGTGGTTTACTTATCGACTTCTTTCAGTTGTTTTTCATGTCCCTCAAAGTTTTCTTCATCCTCCCAATCGGGCAGTATTTTCTCTAAGCTTCTAAGCACTTTTAGCGATTGTTTATCAAGGTGAACTTCTGTGCCCTTTGGAAATTTTAAAGCGTCCCATTTATCGTTCTTTATCGAGGTTCCAGTGTATCTTAAAAATCGAAAGAAAAAAAAATAACGAGAGGGTGCTAACGACAATTTCCGAATGTCCAAAATAAAAAAAGAAGCGGGGGGGCGAGAGTTAAAAAGCACACCAAAGAGAGAGAGAGAGAGAGAAAAATTCCGGAAAGCCGTCCATTAATATCTCAATGAACACAACGGATTGCGATCGATCGCCGTCCGTTAATGTCGAAAAATGGCGTAATTTCACATCTGAAATTGGTAGGCAGGATTTCCTAGATTGAAATAAAGTGGCCGTGGCACCACTGCGCCTGGCGGATCATTTAGCGGTTTTGTCGAGCGACGGCCAATTGCCGGCATTGTCGCTTGGCTGTACCACAATGGGCCAATCGGAATGCTCTGTCTCTTTTCAACTGATGCCACTACAGCTTGATGCCTTCTCTCCAACCCTCCCCCTTCCCCCTAGCGTTGAACACCCTTTCTCTCTGTGTGTGCACCCTATGGTGCCACGTATAGGTTGTGTCCCCCCCCACCCTCAACCCCTCAACGCTACTACTATGCTTTCCATGGTCCCTTTTGCCCTCATCCGCACACACAACACAACTCAACTGATGCCATACCATGCCAACCAGTTACACTGCCTCACGCAAGGGTGTCAGATAGTTACGCTAATCGAGTAACCAATTTTCCAACGATAGAAAAGTCATTTCATCTCTCACTCTCATAATACCCTGCGAGCTTACAATTTCTCTATTATATATAAATAATATACAAGGGATTTTGAATATTTTTTCTTTCATTTTCTTTATCATTATTTTTTTCTTAATTTTTTTCTTTTGCTTATAAATACGTTTTCTCTATTCAATTATTCTATTCTCTTTTTTATTTTTTACTATTTCTAGATTTTTCCATTTTTTGATATTTTTATTACTTTGTTTTTTACTCTGCTCTATTTTTTTTTACTATTTTTACTATATCTAATTTTTTACTCTGTTCTACGTTTTCTTAATTTTCCGATGACGCTGTTCTACTCCTTTTTTCATTTTTTTTTGACTATTTACAGATTTTTCCATTTTTGACTATTTTTACTATTTCATTTTTTACTCTGTTCTTCTTTTTCTATTTTTTACTATTTCAGTCCTCGGATCGACTTTAAAGAGAAAAAAAACTCTCTTTACTCTCTAAATTTTAATTAGTAAAATTTTTTACTAATTTGAATTAGTGACTGACATTTTGCTTTTGAATTAGTAAATTTCATTAATAAATAATAAATTCTACTAAATTATTAGTAAAATTTACTAATTCAAAAGCAAAAAGTCAGTCAATAATTCAAATTAGTAAATATTTTTATTAATTCAAATTTAGAGTAGTAGATCAAAAATACAAAAATACATAGAAAAAATCATTTAACTTCTTAATTCTTTTATTTTACGGGAAAGAAAATTTTTTAAAAATTCCAATTTAAAACTTTTTGAAATTTAATAATTTGTAAAAATTACAACTAAAATCCTTTCAAAATTCAATTATTTTCTACAATTTTTAAATAAAGTTAAACTCTAATCGATTATTTTTAATAATTTCCTGAAAGTTCTTCCAGAATTTAATTATTGAAATCCAAAATTTCAACTATTTATTTTATAATAATTGTAATTGTAATTGTATTTTTTTTTAAAGTTATTAAGGTATAATATTTTTTAAAAAATTATGTTTAAGAAATTCTCAAAATTAATTTTTATTAAATATTTTAAAATAATTTTTTAAAGATAATAGTTTTCCAATTATAATTATACAATTGAATTTGAACTTTTAATTTACATTGTTCAAAGATAATTGAATCTTATAACATTATGACAAAACAATTCTAAGAATTAGTTTTTTAAAAAAAGATGTAATGTAATTTTTGGAAAATAATTGCATTTTTTAAAAGAATTTTTGTATAATTTAAAAAAAAGTAATTAATTTTTTGAAGAATTTTAATTAGAAATTTTTAACATAACTGTTTTCTTCAAAATATTAAAAATAATTCTAAAAAAATATTAATTATTATTATTTTTTGTGTATTTATGCGTTTGTATTTTCGGAAATATGTAATTGAAAATAATTGAATTTAAAAAAATTCAAAATAAAAAAATTCTATAACAAAATATTTTAATAATAATTTTTAATAATCGAAAATATTTTAATACAATTTTCAGAACCTAATTTCTATTAATTTTCTTTTTTAAAATACTTAAAAACTTTTCATTAACATCTTTGAGAATTCAATTATTTTCAAAATTTGCAAATATAAAATTCATTAATAGTTGATTTTCTCATATTTGTAATAAAATAAGTTTAAAAAATCAATTATTTTCAATTAAATTTTACAAAATTTTATTTATTCAAAAATTTTTTAAATTATAGGTATACTTTAAATAATTTAATTATCTTGAAAAGAATTATTTAAAAAATATTTTTTTAAATAATTTTTTATAGATTTGTCCATAGTTTTTTTTACATTATAAAAATCGGCTCCTGTTCTGAACGTTTAAATAAATGAAATTTTTTGTTAACAGTAATTTTTGAAAATTACTGTTAACAAAAAATTTCATTTATTTAAACGTTTAGAACAGCAAGAGTAAATTTAAATTTTAGAATATTATAGAAGAGCGGACAAAAAAGGCCATTTAATTCAATTTTCATTAAATTTAATAAAATTTAATAAAACGTTTAATTTAATACAAAATTTAATTTAAAGATCAAAAAATTCAAATCGCATTTAAAGTCTTTAAATAAAATTACAGCAATTATTTATGTATTGAATAAATATAATATTAAATGATAAAATGAATTAATTCGATAATAAGGAGAAAAAAAAATTTTCCAGAAAAAATACTCTCCTTTGTGTTAGCATTGAAAATTACGAGCGACAAAGGAGGGGGAAAAAAGAGTGGATTTTAGGACAATGGTCTGTAATTAGTCGAGTGGCTAGCCAGATTCAGTTGTATGAAAGCACTACTACCATCAAAGTAGTGGAGGGGTTCCTTGCAGTGACAAGTGCGCCACACTACCATCACACAAGAATTGAAAGTGAAAAATAGTATAGAGGGAAAAAAAAATTTCTGCCCTCTTTTTTCCCCCCCCGCGAATTTTTTATTAATATTATTAAAGCAAATTAAAAGATTTCCACAAATTTTATAACTTTAGGAAAATTTCTTTGGACACAATCACAAAAATTAGGAAAAGGCTCAGGAAAAATCAAAATTTTGTATGTATAAAAATTGAATTTCCCAAATATGTGACTCCATAGTAAAAAAAAAGTTTTGATAATTTCGCTTGCGAGAGAGTTTTCATGCCATCTAGGCGGGAATTTAATGAACTTCAATGGCGCGAAATTCAAAACGGGAAATATTTTAATTTACCATAAATAGTATCGTACAATTTTGTTAACTTCGCTTGCGAGAGAATTTTCATACCATCTAGGCGGGAATTTAATGAACTTTAATGGCGCGAAATTCAAAACTTTTTTAATTTTATAAAATAAAAAATGGAGTAAGATTTTTTTTTTATTTTCCTACCTGAACTCTGGCTTCGGAAAGATCTAGTCTCATTGCAAGTTCCTCCCTTGTGAATACATCCGGATACTGTGTTTTCTCGAAAGCTCGTTCCAATTGATGTAGTTGATAAGTGGTGAAGGTGGTTCGTGACCGGCGAACTTTTCTCGGCCTGTCAGATTCTAAATCCAAGGGATCGTTTAAGGAATCATTTATTTGATGATCACTCAAGTGACCGAGTTCTGTTTCACCCCCATCGCCAACTTCGTTCGACGATGTAGCGTGATCTGCAAAAGAAAACAATTTTTTTTTTACATATTTCTTTAAAATTTTACTAGAATTTTCCTATAGAATAATAAATATTTACTTAAAAATGATAAAATATGACTGTAAAGAAATGAAAGTGAAAAAATAGATTAATATTTAAAGAAATGAATATTTTTTCCATTTTCGCTGTTCAATTCATTTCGCTTGTGAGCGAATTTTCACGCCGTCTAGGCGGCAGTTTAAAGAACTATAATGGCGCGAAATTTAAAACGGAAAGAATTTTAATTAACCGTAAATTAATAGTGTATCAAATAAAAATAAATTGTCATTAATATAGAATTAATTAACTAAATTAAATTAATAATAATTGTGTAAATTTTTATCTAATATTTAGAAAATTATTGTTTTTTTGTTCTTTACCTCAAGTGTTATTTCATTTTAGTAAATTAATAAATTCAGAAAATTAATTTTTCCTCTGCAATTTTTAAATTCAAGTATTAATTAGTGTAATCAATTAAAAAATTTAGAAAATTGATTTTCTAACCCTTCCTAAATTCAATTATTTTCTACAATTTCTACAATCCAAATAATCTTCATCTCTTAATCAATTATTTTAACTAACTTTCGGAAAGCTCTTCTAGAATTCAACTATTTAAATACATAAACTCAATTTTTTATAACAATTGTAACTGTCCATGTTTTTTTCTTAAGTTATTATAAGTTATAATATTTTAAAAAAAATTGTAATAAAGAATGTCTTACAATTAATTTTTTAAAAATATTTAAAAATAATTTTTGAAAGATAGAAGTTTTTTAGTTCCTACAATTGAAAAATTTGCAAACAATTGAAATTTAGTAAAATCTATTTAAAATAATTAAATTTTTGAAAAATATAAATTTTAATAAATCTAAAAAAGTAAATTTTTGTAAATTTTTAATTTTAATTTACTTTGTTCGAAGATAATTGAATTTTAAAACATTATGACAAGCAATTCTAAAAATTAGTTTCTTAAAAATATTGTAATGTAATTTTTGGAAAATAAATTAATTTTTTAAAAGAATTTTTGTATAATTAAAAAAAACTAATTAATTTTTTGTGCTGGTAGGCGTTTGAATTTTCGGAAATATGTAATTGAAAATGATTGAATTTTAAAAAATTGTAATTAAAAAAATTCTATAAGAATTATTACTATTTATTCAAAAATATTTTAATACAATTTGCAGAAGTTTATTTCCATTGAATAAAATTGATGATAAAATCTTTGAAAAATAATTGAGTTTTTTAAAAAATATAAAAAAATAATCTAATTTTTGAAGAATTTTAATTACAAATATTTTGTTAAAAATTCTAAAATAGTAAATTTTTAAGAATTTTAATTTATTTTGTTCGAAGGAAATTAAATCTTAAAAAATTGTATGATAAAACAATCCTAAGAATTAATTTTTAAAAAAAATATTTAAATGCAATTTTTAAAAAATAATTGGATTTCTTAAAAGAATTTTTGTAAAATTCAAAAAAACTAATTAAATTTTCTGATCGATTTTTATTAAAAATTTTGAACATAATTTTTTACTCCAAAATGTTAAAAATAATTTCAAAAAAATTGTAATGTTAATATTTTTTTGTATATATGTATTATGTACTTTTGAATTTTCGGAAACATGTAATTAAAAATACTAGAAAAATATTGAATTTTAAAAAATTAGAAGCTAATTAAATGAAAATTCTTTAAAAGTTGATTTTAAAAAATTGTAAAATACTTTTAAAAAAATTAATTATTTCTAATTAAATTTTACAAAATTTCAACTATTCAAAAATATTTTTATTATAGATTTATATTTTTAGAAAATTTAATTATCTTAAAAAATGATCCAAAAAATATTTTTTAAAGATTTGGTTTATTTTTTGCACTATTTTATGCACCATTTTGTCTGCAATTTTTTAATTAAACTGTCAATTAATTTAGTAAATGAAAAAATTCAGAAAACTAATTTTTTTTCTATCCGTTAGTTCAACTATTAATTAATTTAATAAAAAAAATTCAGAAAACTAATTTTTTTCGTTCCTTTAATTCAACTATTCATTAATTCAATTAATTAATAAATTCAGAAATGTAATATTTTCCCTGCAATTTTTTAATTAAACTATTAATTAATTTAATAAATGAAAAAATTCAGAAAACTAACTATTAATTAATTAATTCAACACAAATTAATAACTTCAGAAAATTAATCTCGAAATTTTTCCCCTCTTTTCACATTTCGAATTTCGAAAAGTTAATTTATATGTAACGTGAGCGCACAAAAAGAGCTATAAATAATCATACGGAAAAAGAATTAATTAAAAATCAAACGACTATTCATATTTCATTTTTGCATTCAGTCATATCTGTACATTATCTGCCAACAAAGAGGAAAACAAAGAAGGAAAAAAAAGTACAATACACGTGTAGTTTGCTTTAATCGACTCTTCGTCGACAGTCGATAAAGGATTGAGAGGGTATGTACACGATGAGTTGAAAGAGAGCGAGAGAGAGAGAGAGAATAAAAAGAGAGCCTAGTCTAGGCAGAAGGGTTGTTCAAGGAGTTGTTACGGGGGAGAGAAAAAAAAAGAGAAAGCGAAACAAAAAAAAAATAGTGGGGGAAGTATGAAAAAAAATGAACAACCAAATAAAAATCTAAAAAATACAAAATAAAACGATTTGCACCAGTGAAAATATGTGAAATATTTCTCTAATACCCCAAAAAAGTATATACTAGAGCGCCCAATATATTTTGTTGTCTACATTTTTCTCTCCCCCCCCCAACGCCCCACAAAAGTCCTTTTTATATAACAAAATACCAGAATTGAAAAATCGACAAAATACTCAACACTTTTTTTTTAATCGGCAACAACCAGAAAAAAATAAAAAGTATAAAAAAAGTGTATATTTCGAGAATTATTTACTGTTTGGGGGGGTGGTAGAGGCTATAAAATGTCAGAGGCTTAAAAAGTCGACAATCCGTCGATCAGACGTCATCGATGAATATATGTATATATATATATCGAATCGACAAGTATTGAGAGATGCGTCGCGGCTTAAAAAAAATATTTTAAAATTGACCCCCGAAGCTCACACTCCGATATATTATATATGTATATATAGACTATTTCGTTTGAAATGTTATATAATATTCGAGTATGCACTTAACGTGAATCTCCTACTGTCGTATCTCTCCTGTGTCTATGTATTTTGGAGGGAGGAGAATATTTAATACCCACCTCGTTTATTTGCGATATTATATATTTTTTAAAGTGGCATAAGAAGGTTCATTTAGAAAACTGGGTTACTCTTCAAGGATCGCGAGGTTCTAGCTCTTAAGGATCTTTTATATTATAGGATTTCGCAGAATTATAAAATTTACCAATTGACTTTAATTTATATAATTCAATGGGTGTTTTCGAAAAACTTGGCAGGAATTTTTTGTTTTTCTATAAAGAGAATGTAAAATCTTTTATGGAATTATGAGGTATAATGATTTTTTTTTTTTTTTGAAAGTATTTTCAAACAAATCGGAAAAAATTTAAATTTTTCCCTATGTGGATTAATTTTGGAAAAAAAAATATTTTTTAACCTGGAAAACCTGGAAATGTCAGGGAATTTTATAAATCTTGAAAAAACCTGAAAAAGTCAGGGAATTTTGATCGAAATCCTGATGAATAATTGTTTTCTAAAGTTTTTGTGCTTATTTTTGAAAACTAATTTCACTTAAATATTTCAAAATTAATTCAATTTTAAAAGAATTGAGTATACAATTTTCAAATGTAGATGAAATTGAAAAGATTTTTATTTAAAATTTTGTAAAATTTCAATTTTAAATGAATTTAATTAGAAATATAAAAAAAACTTAGAAGTTAAAAAAAATTTTTAAAACTAAAATTCTTCTGAAATTAGTTAAATTTTTTAATATATATTTAATTGCGATTATTAAAAATAATGGATTTGTAGAAGAATTTTAGTTAAAAACACTAAAATAAATTAAATTTTGAAGCAATTATATATAATTGCATTTATAAATGCAGAAATTCAATTATTTTCGAAAATTTTAATAAAATTCTTGGCAAAATTTTTATTATTTTCAAAAACTTCCCTCAATTCAATGATTTTTAATATTTACTACTTTAATAAAAATTCCTAAAAGAATTCAATTAATTACAAGAAATTTTAATAAAATTCTACGCAAACATTTAATTATTTTCATATAAATAATAAAAATTTCACAAAAATTCAACTATTTACAAATTATGTTCATATATTATTCAATTATTTTCATAAATAATAACATTTTTTACAAGGATACAATTATTTTTATAAATAATAGAACTCAATGATGAATTGCAATTATTTTTAATACAATTTTTAACGGAATTCCTCGAAAAAAGTTATTATTCTTTAAAATTTTTATTAAAATTTATCAAAGAAATTTAATTATTTTATTAACCTTTGCTACAATTTATTTATTAGAAGTTAAGTATTATTTTTAATACATTTTTAATTAAATTACTTTAAAGAATAAAATTATTTTCAAAAATTTTAATGAAATTCTTTACAATTCGATTTTTTTCAAAATAATTTAAATAAAATTCTTCGCAGAAATACAATTATGTTTAAAAATTTACAAAAGTTCTCGTCAAAGTTTCAATTATTATCTTTATAAATAAAAACATTTTTCTTCGAAATTCAATTATTTTCAAAACTTTTAATAAAATTCTTGGCAGAATTTCAATTATTTTTAATACATAATTTTAATCAAATTTCTCGAAAAATGCAATTATTCTTAAAAATTTTATTAAAATTTGTCAAGAGAATTCAATTATTTAAAAATTTGTTAATAAAATTCTTTATGAAAATGCAATTTTAAGAAACATTCAATCGTTTAATAAAATATTTATTTTTATAGTTATAAATAATTGAATTGTCGTAGAAGTTTCAAATAAATTAAAAGGTTTTTAAATTTTAAAATAAGTTCAAATTTTATT